TTTTGTTTTAATAATAAGATTTTTTAAGTGAACGCGTAGAGTAATAAACCTACGACTTTAATGAAATAATAAAGTCGTTGAAGCTGAAATAGTTCTTATTACTAAAGTGATAATCAGTTATCAGTTCTCCATCTTTCCGTTCTTATCAATAACACTGTTATTTATCTCCAGATGTACTCATTCAGTAACACGACAGATATAAATGAAGATTTTGTGAAAGCAAATATTTTTCAGTTTTCGTTAATTAACAAAATGCTTACTTCCTATGAATAAAACAGCCAAAAACATTTATTACTTTGAGAGACAAAAACTGTGTTAACCTAAATAGCATAAACATTTTAAGTTTATATTGGATACATAATATTTTAACAAACTATTTTAATATAATTTCTCACCTCTCTCATTCGGAGTTGCCAGATTTCTTGTAGCTCCTCTTCTGTTGCCGACAGCATTTCTTCCTCACTAGGACACTTCCACTGAGGTAAGTTTAAAATAGCAAATATCGAAGCCAGAAAAGTAAAAGACGGACCCCTGAATTATCGGAAGCCTACATAAAAACACAAAATAAGTTTTTACGTCTAAATATTAAATCGGCTCTGTGCATAATTGGGCAAAGAGTCCAAGCGACAATAAACAATACAAAAACTATCCTGAATATATGAAATATGAAACAAGTTCAGGATTCTATGTAAAACTATATTTTTGTGTAGTAACCTTCCACAGCTTCTTTCGTTTTCAGAGGTTGAAGATGTTACGTCAAAACGATTTTGAAGCCTCATCAGTTTCATTATCATCTATTTTGCTACGTCTGATTATGCTTTCTCTGATGACTATGCATACTGACATCAACCCTGTAGCGTAGTTTGAATTGCTAGCGGCTCCTTTATAAAGATTCCGTGTCCAAACCACACTATTCTTCCCTGCGTACTTACCATATTCTATCCAAAGAACGAGGATGACAGTATCCCAACGACTCTTTCAACAATTCGAATACGCGAAAATTCATAGGCGCTGCATCAGGCGTCTTTATATATATGTTTATTCGTAAGGAATATATCGTAAATGCGCGTTTTATCTTCAACTTCATGCGATAATTGAATGGGTATATTATTTAAACAGTTTGTGTAAACGTGGCTTTTTGTTACTTTTCAAAGTTTCTCTACACAAAGATCCTCTTTGTTTATGCTGTACTGTTGGTCTTTGTTGAGGGCGCTGTTGTTTCAAGCTCATCCATATTCCTTTCTTTATTGACGCCATTAATTAAAAGGAATATTCCCATCTTATAAATTATAAATCCCTGATCCGAAAGAAACTTTATAATCTAAGTGTATGAATATTTACGTCGCAAATGGCTGATATATATACCACGGGCGTTGACATGAAGATATGCACAAATGACAGTTTCTGTGAGAAACTAAAAGGCTTGAAGGAACGTATACATGTTTATACTTTGGGGACATCAAAAAGGCAGAGAGTAGAATGACAATGTAACCTTGTTTAATGAAATATTATAGTTTTTTATTGCCCAAAAGCTACTGTGTCTTAAAACTGTTCTGCCTAAAAAATCGTCTTAAATATTCCATATGAACATTCTCTCCCGAGTTATCGTAAGGATTTGCACTTGATGAAACTAAAAATTGAGTTCATTAAATTTTAATGATGCCCAGGAGAGGTTTAGGTAGTATTGAGTTAATAATGTTTAACTAATATCTAGGAGAACTGTTCCATAAGTTGTGTTCAAAAAAGCAGAAGAGAAAAGTGTTTCAAATGTATTTCTTTTTTCAAAATAATTAAGTCATTTTACATATTTATGACCAACAGCAACACCAGGCATCAGAGTTTTATTGAGGCTCGAAAAGCTAAGTGTCTTGACCTTTGAATGAGTTGCTGTAGCCAAGTGGAATCTTTCAGTTTTAAAAAAAATAAACATCGCCATAGAAATTTGCTTGAAGTTCTTGGTGTACTGTCAGAAAGTTCTGACATGGATGCTGCACCTAAGGCTAAAGCATTGCGAGATAAACTAGGGTTCCTTAGACTTCTTCTCCATAGTGTAGAGGAGGTTCTCTGTGCCCACAAAAGTACATCAGATCAGCTACTGTCTACTGATGTTTTGATTTCAAAAGCAAGTTTGCTCATTCATTTAACCAGGAACGAAATAAACAGCATGCGATCTAATACTTCTTTCTCTAGCCTTTCTGATGCAGCCAAGTTTTTTCTACAGTCTTATGATGTCGAGACATATTTTGCAATTAATAGGACTAAAAGTCTTGGACGGTCTTGACGAATTCGAAAAGCGTTGTAACGACTAAATCAGTTTCTCACAGACTCTACGAGTGAGAGGAATGATGTGGAGAGTTATTTCTTTTTAATAGCAGCTCAACAGAGAATACTTTGAAATAGTTGATACATTTCTTTCGGAACTTGATAGGTGCTATTCTGAAACAAATTTCTGCATTTAATCAGGAAACAAGAAAATTTGTAAAATTTGAGAGTCTTTCAGTCTTTGCATTCTTATCAAACTTTGTTGGGTCTGAAATTCTTTTGATTCTCATATTAATGTTGCCAATAGATACCTTTATGAAAAAAGTGAAAAGTCAAAGAATCCGTTACAGTTCTATGAAGAGTTGCGGCGATTATAAACTGCATACTCTGAATTACTAAACATCACCAGTGTAGTCTTCGCTCTTCCAGTAACCAGTGCAAGCAATGAGCGAATGTTGGTTTAAACCTATTTATGAACCTCCATGACCAATCCCTGTCTTAATGATCGGCTTTTTAACAGTAACTGAAAAAAATCATTGGTAAAGGAAACTTGATTTTTTATGCCCTGGTTGACATGTTAGCAAAAAATGAAGCCTGGACAACATGCCCTGCTTCACTAGTTTATTATTGTAATATCAGAGTTTTATTATTATAGAGAGGGGACACCTAATTCCTTTTGTGAAGTGATACAACTGTTACCTCCATGTACTTTCTGAAAACGATCAAACTTCGTGTCCATCACCCTACCTACAATACGTCAAAATATGTTCCCGATCCGTTCCGGACCTCAATAACTTTCTATCGGTTGTGTTTGTCACGTGACTTGCTGATTTGCATGTTGTAATATAACGTACTCAGTTGTCTATTATTACACTTAATTTACACTTTTTTGAAACTACACAGAGTTCTCGAACTAATTCAACCTTTACAGTTAGTTTTGATTTTAAAAATTGTTTTGTATTACAGAATAAACGTATTTCCAAGATTTTATTTTCATTTCAATCCTTTAATAAAACTGGATGATACCAAGACACTTTCAATAGCATAAGAAGATTATAGTTCTATAGAACCTAGTGGATTTGCCATTTTATATCTCCAAAACTGGATGGTACCATGACACCTTCAATAGCATAAGAAAATTATAGTTCTATAGAAACAAGTGGATTTGCCATTTTATATCTCCAGAACTGGAGAATACCATGACACTTTCAATAGCATAAGAAAATTATAGTTCTATAGAAACTAGTGGATTTGCCATTTTATATCTCCAGTTTAGTCGGATTACTTTAATTTATAATCGATAATATAAATTAATAAAATTAATAAGTATTTTTTTTTAGTTAGAGGCATAGTATTAAAAAGCAAGTAAACCAAATATCTAAAAATCAATATACTTTAAATATAGTAAGGATTGAATACGTTATATTAAACCAATCTTGAATATGTAAATCAGCGAGTAACGAGACAGCCACAACCGTTATAAAGTCGCTGTAGGTTTAACATATCCACTTACACCTTATTATGAACATTTGATACAAACATTGCCAAAATAGCTATTTCTTATTTTATTGCGCAGTTTATAATATTTTGACCTGAAAAATTATGTTCAATGCTTGGTCTTCTTTTCTTTTCGGTTCACTCTTTTGTGTTAATGGATCGGGCGTAGTCTAGTGGCTAGTATACTTGCCCTATAACTTTGCGGCTCTAAGTGTGTTATATGAGTGACGTTCATATCCTTCTATTTGATCATAAAAGAAATGGCAGTAGTTACTATGTCTAGCTGCCATTTTCATAGTCTTTCAGTTCATAAGTATATTCTGAAAAATTCCTTTTTTGCACGTTCCTTAGAAACAGGACTTTATTGCAATAGATATGTAAAAATTGGTTAGGTCACATATTGTCGGGATTCTGCACGTCAGTGTAAGTATGTAATATTACAGTTTCATAATATTTGAAAAGTTCCCTATTTCTAAGCCAATTAAAGTTAGATGGATGGTATAGGCTCTTACCTTGTTCCGAATGTTGACTGGATTAGTGTCCCTAAACCTGACACAAAAAATATTGTTGATGTTATGTAGCCTCGAGCCGGGTCGGATTCTTGGATGCAGAGCTTAGGTGTAACCACGTAAGGATATGCCACAGTCGATCCGAACATCGTCAAATATTGCTATAATTATAAAAGAAATAAATACAGTTTTTATTCATATTTCAATCAAAGACTACTTGAAATATGCTATAAGAAATAGAGAAAACGTTTTTAAGAAGAAGCTTTATGACGAACAATTACGTAGTAAAATTAAACTTGTAACGAAACGTCATAAAGATTTACGTGTAAGGTGTTTTAATTAAACTTTATTGAAGGGAACTAAACTATTTTTATTTGGGTGTTTCAACAATATCTAACACTAACCCAACTAATTTATTCTTCTATTCTATTCAGTGGACGATTTAATTGAAGAAAAAGTGTTTTGTGAGGTAACTAACTCATTTTGGGGGATTTTACTGCTATCTATGATTTGAAATATCACTCTTTCTTCTTCTGTAGCTTTTCCCGTATCTATACGGGGTCGCTATTTTTGACAGCACGTTTCCACTCTCCTCGGTCTTCGTATTCGTCCCCAACAAGGCCTTTCTCTCTAATATCTCCATCCACGCAATCCTTACATTTTCTCCTTGGTCTTCCTCTCTTCCTTCTCCCCTCCGCCTCCATATCCAAAACCCTCTTGCCTATATAATCATCTTCCCTCCTCATCACGTGCCCATACCACTGCAATCTTCTCTCCTGAACTTTCTTCGATATTTCCACCACTTTAGTTGTTCCTCGAATCCTCTCGTTTCTAATCCTATCAAGCCTCGTCACTTCACACATCCATCTCAACATTTTCATCTCGGCTACCTATACTTTCTTCTCTTGAGCCTTTTTGATGGGCCAGGCTTCCGCTCCGTACATCATCGCAGGTCTCACAACGTTCACCAAGAATAGCATATATATAATATATACACATTATTTTTAAAG